ATCATCATCATCATTAATTATTATTAATTATTATTATTATCACTACTATTATCATTATCATTAATTGTTTAATTTTTCCATATTTGTTCAGTTATCATCATTCACCATATTATCATCATTATTATTATCAATGTGATTATTATTTCCATTAATATTATCGTTGACATCATCATTAAGATTATGATAAATGTTAGAAAGATTACAGTTGCAAAAAGCCTTCAAAGTGTTAATTGAATGGGGTGTTGGTTCAGTAGTTGTATGGAATAGTAAACGTGAAGGTGTTATCGCAGTACTTACTCTTACTGATTTTCTCATTTCACTTCTATCACAAACCAGTGAAGAATCAACAACCGTTGAAGAAGCCATTTCAGCCAATCAATTGGTTTGGCTTGATGGATCATGCAAGTTTGTCAACAAAATTCACTTTTTTTTAAATTTATTTTAAAAGAAAATTTGCAAAATTATTTTATTCAACGCATGTAAAAGAAAATAATCATTTATGCTTCTTTTTTTTTTTCTTTTTGTTGAAATAAAATTGTAAAATTTCTAATAAAGATGCTAATTAAATGAGCAATAATGAGAGAAGTAATATCAAGTTGAACTTTCCAACTAACTAAAAAATCTGAGAAGTTAGATTTTTAAAGAGATAAAAAAAATTTTCAAAAATTATAAAATCTAGATTGCTTGAAGCATGTCATGAGTTTTGCTCCAATCGTATTCATCGAATAGTAGTTTATCCAGAACAAGCTGGTGATGTCCTCTACTTACTTACTATTAAACGAATTTTACAAGCAGTTCATAAACAGGTCTTTTTTCTTTTTTTTTGAATTAATTTATTTCAATATATTGAAATAGCGGGAAGTAATTACAAAATAAATCAATGAAGTGTAGAATCATCGAAACTAAGTTTCAAAAAAATAATCGTAAAATTTTTCTAGCAATTTATCCGTTTCAAGAAATTTTTTAATCATATGATGTTAATCGGGAAATGTTTACGGTTATTTTTAGAGATTTAGCAAAAGAATTATACATTTCATTTATTTTTTGTAATTTCAAATCACTCAAAATTATTATCTTTAAAACATAAATATTTTATACAAATATTATTAAATGACTTACCAACAATCTATCTGATTGAATAATTTGCATGTTCAATAATTACTTTATAGCAATTAAAGCATTTATTATTTTTAGAATCGTTCGTTACATTTTGCATCTTGGCTTGATTGGGACATCAAGAAATCAAAAATAGGCACATGGGGAAATTTGCAAACGGTAGTTTAATTTTAATTTCATTTTATTTTTCTCACAAATCAATGGTTTGTTTTTGGTGTTAATTAATTCCGCTAATATGATGTAATTAATAAATGATTTGGTAATATATGAAATAAAATTGGCTAATTTATCTAATATTGATTCGTTTTTAGATCAATTCACCTAATATTAATTTGTTTTTAGGCTAATTAATGTCAATATGTTTTTATTGAGTGATATTATCAAATCCAAGGGTAAAAGCGTAAAAAAAAAAAGAAAACAAAGACAAAAATGCAAATCACTTGAATTTATGATTTGAAGAGGAAATTGTTGTAAAGGCGAAGAAAAAAGATCATTCCTTCAAATGGTAATAAGAGGAGAAAGTATTTAAATGTAATACTGCGGGATTTGAGAAATGATCTGATGATAAAATGGATAGTTTGATGACGGGACAATCACTTCTTTGCCTATCATCACTTCTCGAATCCTGTGGTATTACCTATTCATACAGAAAAATGATTCAAATCATTTTCTAAGCTCTAATTATAAATTTGAATAGGTGATGAAATTTTAAAATTACGATTCAGTACTAGTTTAATTTGCTATGATATGGTTGCAATTTAGATAAATAAATGAGTTAAGTTTGAAATGTAAAGTTCATTAATTAGAATTGCTTCTTTGAAATTAATATTGTTATAGGTTTCTGAGAAGGATAATCTGGAAACGGTAGCACGGAAAATGCTTGATTATCGTATCTCTAGTTTGCCAATAATTGATGATGAGAATTGTCCGGTGGATGTGATATGCAAAACAGATATTGCATACGCACTTGTGGATGCTAAAAGTTTTAAAGTATTGCTAATTTTCAGTAGTTAATGTTTGATAATTTAATGTATGTAAAATGTTACTTCTCGCTTACCAAATGGTAAATATAACTGTTTGAAGAGAAGAGAGATTTAGCAGGTAGTAGATTCTTTTGAGTCATTTTGAAATTAAATGTTAAATGGAGAAAAGGATGCGCAAAACAAAAAAAAATCATGAATAAAACGATCAGAAGACGTTGGGGAAATCATGCGTAAGACGATCAGAAGAATTGAAATGGATGAGATCATTTCTTGATTTCGGCATTTGCCTCATCCTTATCTTTTAAATCATCTGGAAAAAGTTTTGAGATCGTATTCCTATTTCCATAAATTTGTTAACGTTTTAGGAGCAATTCCAAAAACTAACGACAGTAGAAGCAGTTAGAAATCGACAACCAATGATATTCTTATCAGAAACTGATACTGTTAATCAAATCCTTGATTTTGCTCTTAGTCGAAAAGATTGTCGATGTGTGTTTGTTATCAATCCAAAAAGTGGAAAATTAACTGGTGCAATATCCTTGTCTGATTTTATTTCACATATTTTGTACACTGATTTATCAACTCCTACTGCTGATACTAAACATTCCTGAAATGTCTAATCTGTGAAATTTTCTGTGCTTCATTTTTTTTCTTTTTTTTTTAAAGCTACGGGTACAATGATAGAAAATTATTTAATTGCAAATATTTTGTTTCATTCCTATAGAAGCAAAATTTACAAAATCAAACCATGCATGGTACCATCTTCCCCAACATATTATGACGGATAAGATTAATTAGGAAATTAATTAAGGACCCACTACTGATTAGAATTGATGCAATAGTTTGCTTTTAAAGGTACAAAAACTAAAAGCAGATGACATGTCATGTAGTAGAAATACTGGTTTATGAAAAAAAAAAAAAAAATTAAAATACAATCTATGACTTCGAAACAAACAGCTTCATATAATGAATACATTACGATTTATAAAGAGATGCTCAGAAATAAAGACTGATCCATCTGGCTGGGACACATTTTAATTCATTTCTTACCTATTTCTTTCTGTTATCGTATTTTGCTGCATTAATATTTCCACCAATTATTTTATTATACTAAATACCTCTGGAACTGGACATGTGAAAGGAATATATCGTTAAAACTTCACTTCTCTGCGATCGTTTTTTTAAACGAATAGGCAGATATTTAATAGCAATAAATTTTCATAATATGCATTCCCATGTTTAACAATACACCTGCATTACTTGCAGTTTATTCGCCATAAAATAACTAACCGAAATTGTTTATTTGTCGATGGCAGGACAAGATACGCATCAGACATTGAATGCATATCAAAAAGCTATCCAGATCGATGCCTTAAAATTGTCATAGAATCAAAAAATCCGCAACAACAGTTCTTTCCAAATATTTCTTTCCTAGTATTTGTCCAACGACACGCACCCATTTCCAACATCGGAAAACCAGATGACATTAATAATACGATGCTACAGGAACAGTTTTCAACAAAATCATTTCTTTTTTTAAAGACAACTGTTTCACATCATAAGAAAAAGTTAAACTCGTCTTGAAAACTCAAAATATGGTAAAAAATAAAAATAAAAAAGCAAAACTTCGTGCTTTTTTCGCTACGAATACTGCAAGAACTTCCTTTTGAAAACGGATAAGAGATAATTCGAAATTCACCCCTACCAACAAAATTTTGCTTATTTCTTTTCAAGCACCCATTTACAATATGAGAGGAAAATTAGGGGAAAAATTCATGTACTTTGTATTAAAACAGAGCAGGAAACAAAAATATGTTTAAGATTTAAAATTGATAAAGTCTGAAAGAACAAAAACAAAACATTGTAGCCTACTGGCATGTTAAAGATTATTTTAATTAGAATGCAACAAATCCTTTGATTTAATTTCTGATCAGAAGAAAACAAAAATAATAAAAGAAAATCTTCGTTACATCGAAACATCCTGACTGCATAACACACTTCTCATCCCTCTTCTCCTCCACTCTGAACGGTGTAACAAATGGGAGGGAGAAGGTAAGTGCGAAAAAAAATTCTACATACAATACTAAACTTCGTCAAAATATTTTGTGTATACGCAATTAGGTTATTGGCGAACAGCCAAACTGCTTTCAAAATTAACAAGTTTTTTTCCTGTTTTGTTTCCAAGTGTGTGAGTTACTGACTGCATGAGTTACTGACTTCCGAGTGCCGGGAATGCGTCAGCAGATACTTCGAATGTCTGGACTTGTTTTGGATTACGATT